TCACTCATGATGCTGTTTATGATGACGTTGGTGATGGCGATGACGATGCAGCTGATGATGTTGGGGCTGTTGTTCTTCAGGATGATGGTGATGATACTAATGCTGCTGATGATGATGATGATGATGCTGATGCTGATGCTGATGCTGATTATGATGATGATGCTGCTGATGATGATGATGCTGATGATGATGATGATGATGATGAGGATGATGACGACGACGGTGCTGCTGATGATGATGCTGATGATTGATGATGATGCTGATGATGACGAGGAGGAGGAAGATGAGGATGAGGATGATGATGAGGTGGAAGCGGAGGGTGATGATGAAGGGCGAGTGGCATGACGAACTCATGAGGAGGGATGGTCGCAATGGGGGGTGGGAGAGGTGGGGGGAGGAGGTTGAGGTGGATGACGTGAGATTTGGGATGTGAGGGAGGAGGAAGGGTGGAGGAGGAGGGACACAACATAGAAGGCGAAGGGCCCCCCCCCCTCCTCACGATCAATTGTCTTTCGCCCCCACATCTGAACTCCCAGACGTCCTTGGAGCTCCCAGGATGCCCAAAATGAGTTACACCATGCACAGGCCGAGCACGATCTAAGCAACTCCCCCTCGACCCTACTAAGAGGGTCGAGGCCAATCCTTAGCCTCCCTTTTCTCTCTTCCGCCTGGGGAGACGCGTGGCGTCGTCATGAGGTGAACCGTGGCCCCTGCTCCTCCTCCTGTTCCTCCTCCTCCTCCTCCTCCTACCTCCTCCTCCTCCTCCTCCTCGCTCCTCGCTTCCTTCCTCCTCCCCCTGCTCGTCCCTCCTCTTCGTCCCGTCTCCTCCTTCAACTCTGCTCTTGGTGACATTCGGTCGTTGGGTGTAGCTCGGGCCCTCTATACCATCAAAGACTGCAAGTACTGCTCATCCTCATCCTCTTCCTTCCTCCTCCTCCTCCACTTCCTCCTCCTCCTCCCTCTTCCTCCTTCTCCCTCTCGCTCCCTCCCTCCTTCTCTCCTTCCCCCTCCCTCCTCCTCCTCCTCCTCTTCCATGCTGCTCCCTCCTGCTCCCTCCCTACGTCCCCTCCTTCCCTTCCTTTCCCCAATCCTTGAATCGTCTATGTCAGGTAAGGCACCCAACCGGAATGGCAAGGCGTTCCTTAGCCAGACTGTCCCCCTTGCTGGGCTTGCCCCTCGCTGCCGAAGTTTGGAGAATACACCTCAGAGTGCTGATGCGTTTTTTCCTACACGACGGTAGGGCATTATCTTTTGACAGCCACAGGGACCGCTCCCTTCTATGAGCAACATATGGCGGCTCTTATTGAGATAATCCGTGTCAGAGAAATCCGAGGCCAATAAATTTAGACCCTGAGCTATATGCACACATATACGTTCATATCTATATATGTATATTTTTATGTTGATTGTGCTGTGTACTTCCCCTTTTCGCCTTTACATTCCATTTCCTCCCTCCCTCCCTCCCTTCCTTCTTCTTTCTCTGCCACCTTCCCTCCCTCCTCTCTGCTGCGAGCGCAGTTGGGGGATTGAGCAGGGGGCGGGCCTTCTCAGAAGGCTCTAGAGGCCCCTGGCCTTCTGAGAGGTCTTAAGCTTCCCCGAAGACACATATCACTTCTCAGAAGGCTAGCGTGCTTCTGAGGAGTCCCGCCGCCTTCTGAGAATTCCTTCTCCTTCTCACTTCCCTCCCTCGCTCGCTGCCGATCCTCGCCTTGCTTCCAGGAGGAGCGCGGCGCCGTCAATAAGTGCAATGACAGCCTGGGCCCCGGCGAGATGATCGCCCCCGGCGACCTCATCTGTGTGGTCAACGGCGTGAGGGCGCGCCGTTCCTCGCCGCCGCCTCGACGGGGCGCGGCAGCAGAGGGAGGAGGATGAGGAGGATGAGGAGGAGGAGGAGGAGGCGGAGGAGGAGCAGCAGGAAGAGGAGGAGGCGGAGGAGGAGGAGGAGGAGGAGGAAGATGAGGAGGCGGAGGAGGAGGAGGAGTGGGAGGGGAGGAGGAGGAGGAGGAGGAGGAGGAGGAGGAGGAGGGGAGGAGGGAGGAGGAGGGAGGGAGGAGGAGGAGGGAGGAAGAGGAGAAGGAGGAGGAGGGGGAGGAGGAGGAGGAGGAGGAGGAGGAGGAGGAGAAAGAAAGAAAGAAAGAAAGCTCATGGAGTTCATGCCGTCTAGCACCGAAACGCCCTGCACCTTGCAGCCTCGAAAATTGGGCTGGGAGGGGCTGGGATCCAGCGCGAGAGAACTCTGAGAGGCCTTACAACGACCAGCCACTGTACCACTACCAGTGCCCTCAGCTCGAGGCTGCACTGCCCCGCTCAGAGGTACCCCTCGGAGGGATTCGCCCTCCCTGGGGGCCCCCTGGGGGACCAGACGACCTTCCCCGCCCCCTCCCCCCCGTCCCCTTAGGGCGCGCCAAAACTACAGTGGGAGGCACCTGCCCCCGCGCCGCCGGAGAAATCTCCAAAACTGCTGGGACCTTCCCCTGAGCCCTTAATTCTAGAAATCTTACGCTTCCGGCGAATGCCGCCGGGATGCCGTGCAAGGAAGAGGAGGAGGCCGAAGGAGCGGGGCTTCGAGAGAGCTGGGCGCATGAGCCTGCTGGCCCCTGCTCGGGGCTACTGTGCCTCACTTCGACACCATCGCGGCGAGGAGGCGGCCCGCGTCCCTCTCCAGCGGCCCCTTGGGAGCTGCTCCCACGCGCCTCTTGGCCCCCTGCTTCACCATAATGGCGTCGAACAGTTTGGTGAACACCTGCATGTCCGAGTCGGTCTGGTCGAAGGCGAGCTGAATCCGGCCCTTGTCTTGCAGCACTCCCCCCGGCCCCTTGTTGCGCCTCCACTTGAAGTAGGGCACCCTCTCCGCGATCTTCAGGGGCTCCAGCGTGACGATCACATTCTTCCAGAAGTCCATCAGCGGGGCTTTGTGCTCGCCCAGCTCCTGCTTGCCGGCCCACTGGAGGAATGCCACAAAGACGTGGACATGTGGGGGCCCCCGCGACTCGAAGTCGGGTCTCCCGCCCTCCTGCCTCTCCTTCCTGAGCCGCTCGCTCTCGGTGTTGTAGTCCTTCCCCGCCGCCTCGAGGGCCAGGCCCACGTGCTCGTCGCCCTTGAGGTCCACCTCCCAGGTGCGGTACACGGTGCCGACGACCTCGGCCAGGCAGCGCGAGTCCGAGAGCACGAGCTTGGTTAGCACCACGAGGAGCTCGCGCATGGCCGCGTCGCCCCCTTCTTGGCCGCCGCCGCGATCTCCTTCCGGGCTACCTTGGCCTCGGCGGCGGCGTCGTCGCGAGACTCGGGGCCCCTTTTCTTCATCCAGGCTGGGGTCTCCATGGCGGCTGTGAGCGAGGCCTCTCGCGCGAGGGAGCGCCACGGGCGCCGGCAGGTGCTTGACGAGATGGCTACAGAGCTCGTCCTCGTCTGCAGCCGTGACCTGGCATATACGACACTCGAGCGACGATGGCGGCGCTGCCGCCCTGAACGTTGACCCCCCCATGGACGGGCAGCGACCTGACAGCATAGCCGTCAGCAGGTGTCTCGCCGCTGTCACCGGCGTCGCGAATATCCCTCGGCACACAATGCAACGACTTGACATAGTTAAAACATGTGCGAGACTGCGAGCCTGATGGTGATGGCATCGATGATTGATCAGGGCCTTCTTGGAGTCATAGGCCTTCCCGCATTGCGAACCGTCCTCGAGTTTCCAGTCGCAGACCCACTCGTGCGCAGGGGGAGGGGGAGGCACCTCCCCCTCCACCGGCCCCTCCTCCTCCTCCTCCTCCTCCTCCTCCTCCTCCTCCTCCTCCTCCTCCCTCCGTAGCCATTTTGGCTCAAGACTAAATGCTTGGGAGGCTGTCAGCCTCCAGGCTTTCACGGATACCGCTGTCACCGCGGCCAGACAAATCAAGCTTTCTGACCGACGGCTGGTCCGCCCCAGCCGATCGGCTGCCTCCTGCGGCCCCGCAGGTGTGCAGGCGCTCTCGTGGCCCAAAAACGTCTCTGCAATGGGGCCGCGCGAGGATGATGCGTGCAGGTGGTATTGCAAGTGGTGCAAGAACGATCGCACGGGAAAGCAGTGGTGGAACATGGCGCATGCGAAGAAGTGCGTGCTGTGTGGCTTGGCGAAAGGAGTCACGTTCGGGGGCAACGTCATGCCCTCGGAGCCTTCAGTCCGCGCTAAGCTCAAGATGCCGCCGTGGAAGATCCAGTCAGCTGAGGCCGCAGGACAGGCAAATATCAGGGAGCTTGAGGCGAAGATCAAGGAGCTTCAGGCCGAGTCGAAGCGCCTGTCTGGGGACCCCATGCAAGTCGACGCTGGCGAGAAGGATGACGAGGCGGACATGCGCAAGAGGCTCAGGGAGATTGATGAGCAGCTCGCGTTTGTGTCCAAGTACAGCAGTGAGTCGAAGGCGGGAGCATATGTGGAGTCGCTGCGGGCGGAGAAGGAGCGTTTGCATGGCAAGCTTCAGGAGTCTCGGCCTATGTATGCGAAGTTGCAGACAATGTCGAATCGGCTCAAGACGGCGGAGAAGCGGGCGGAAGCTTCGAGAGAGTTGGTGGCAGAGAGGAAACGGCAGCTTGGTGAGATGCAGAAGAGTCTGGAGCAGGCTGAAACGGATCTCACTGAGCAGGAGAAGGAGGTGGTGTCGCTCAGTGCGCAGGTGCAGGAGCTCACTAAGCAGGCGCCGATGGCGCCCGAGTCGGCATCGCTGGACGAGAAGGGCAAGGGCATGGCCATGGATGTGGGCGCCTTGGGCAAGATGCTTGAGGCGCAGGGCGTTGGCTCCGAGCAGGCGGCAGCTCTGGCGCAGGTGCTGGCGGGCAGCATGGGCAAGCTCTGGGTCAAGAACGAGGCTGGTCAGGCTGAACAGTCGCTCCAAGCTCCTCGCACGCCGTATGGCGGAGCAGGCGTCTCCTCGCCTGGCACGCCGAGTGCTGAGGCAGGAGGCGGAGAGGCCGCTGCAGCAGCTGAAGGAGACGCCCAGCCCAGGTCGTTGGACCAGGTCATTGCAGAGGCCAAGGAGGAGGAGTTGCGTGCTTCGTCGGAGGCGTTTTACCCATCCGATTTGGCTGAGCATGTTCCCAAGGACCTTGAGGGGCTTCGGGCTGCTGCTGCTCGCCTTGCTGCTATGCCTATCTTCAATCAAAGTGGACAGCGGCTTGCAGTCGTGCATGCACCTTATTGATATGCCGCGTAATGGTATTCCATTGTATGCTTTGCCGCAGCCGCAGGTGGTGGCAGACACCTGCCTGGTTGTTGATGAGTGCCAGGGTGATTTTCAGGAGTTCGACGACGTCGGATTCGACCAGGACGAGTTTTTCGGTATCACCGAGGGTTCGAAGGAGGTGTCTGCCGCATTGTCGGCCACGTGTGCGATTACTGGAAGCAGCACTGCTCAGGTGCCTGGTCGGCAGCCTAATGTTGATCTCAAGTTGAAGGGTGTGATCACATCTGCCAATGTGGAGGGTGCTGGACCTTTCAACATGTTCATGGAGACGTGCAGGTCCAAGATAGTGGTGATTCAGGAGCATCGCACTTTAGCCAGGCATCTTCCATCCTTGCGTGCTCACATTCGTGATCTTGGTTTCCACGGTTTCTTTGGGGGCGCCGTGGAGACGGAGGCTGCTGGACGATCAGGTGGGGTCGCCATCCTGGCTCCGACGCATATCGTGGTGAAGGCGCCGCCTGAGCTCCCTGAGCATGAACTGGAGCCAGGTCGCATTGCTGCTGCGGGTGTTTCCTGGATGGTACCATGGGGGTGTCGTTATTATTGCTGTTTGTCTTATCTCTGGTGAGGGTACGAGTGCAGCAAATGAGGCCTTGCTTGTGAAGATCGCGAGATACCTTGCAGTATTGAATGCCATAGGGCGCGACTGGATCGTCATGGGAGATTGGAACCTCACGCCTGATTTGCTTTCCTCTGGATGGTTGGCAGGTGTGAATGGATTTGTTGCGGCTCCTTCGAGGCCAACACGCTTATCGGAGCAGCCTGGCAGTGTCATTGATTACGCTCTGGTGTGCGCCAAGTTGGGAACGCGAGTTCGATTGCCTCAGGTGGTGGACGACAGTAATATCAAAGTTCACTTACCTGTGGAGTTGCCAGTGTTAGCCGAAGACAGGCCAGCATGGGTTCGACAGGTGGTGGAGCCAGCTCCATTCTCGAGGACGCCGCCTATCGGATGTGAGAGATTTCCTTTGGATTGGAGCGAGGTTGAACGGCAAGTTTTTTATGCTCGAACCAGCGACGACTTGAGCTTGGCTTGGGACGCTTTGTTGGCTGGCCTGGAATCCGAATTGCAGGGTGTCTATGATTGCGTAGACGGAGTAAAGGCTTCGTCGACGTCTGGGCGTGGTGGCCCTATTCTTACCCAGATGGCGCAGATGGCACAGGCCAAGTGGCGACCTCCTCTACGACGGTTGCATCATGGTCCTGAGCTACGTGCGTGGACTGTTGCTCTAAGGTGGGTCTTCCATTGCAGGAGGGTCGAAGAGCACGTAGCCAAGTTGGTGGATAAGCTTCTGATTTGGCGGGACGGGAACAGGCTTGTGAATGTTCGGGCTGATCACTCTGCGCTGGCGAAGGTGCTGGTGGAATTCGCTCGTTTTATGCATGGAGTTCGCGGTTGCGAAAGTTCTCTGCAAGCTCTACCTGCATGGGTTTCTGAATTTTTCTTGCCGTCATCTTGTTTTGAGCTACTGGCGCGTGATGATTTTTACCGGGTGGTTGCCAACATTCAAGGTGCTCATGATCGCATTTTATCTGCTCATGAGAAGTGTGATCGTGCTCGATGGAAGAGGTTCGTGGATTCTGCCTTTGAGAAAGGTG